ATATTGGTAGAAGGATGTTGGAGATGGAGCTGCCAGGCAAGAGGTCAAGAGGAAGGCCAAAGAGGAGATATATGGATGTGCTAAAAGAGGACATGAAGTTAACTGGGGTGAGAGTAGAGGATGCCGAGGATAGAGTTAGGTGGAAACAGATGATTCGCTGTGGCGACCCCTAACGGGAACAGCCGAAAGAAGAAGAATTAAATGGTGAAAAACAATGAAATGGTTTAAGTTAGCTGGGAGCAAATAGAAAATAATTAAACCAAGGTAATGGATAAACAGTTACAAAACAATGTCTATTGGATAAAGACATGAAATAGTTAAAAGTAAAACATTAGAAAAAATTAGCCAACAGTAAATGGTTAAAGGATGTAGTTGATTATTTTCTATATCAATAGTATTTTCAACAATCCCCATAAAACACCAGCAGTGAATGGCCTCTACTCACAGTTAATGTCTGTCAGTCTCCAACCTGCTTTAGCTGGTTTGTCTGTACCATAGACGTCCATCAGCCAAGCACACCACTGCACTGGGTGCCACATTTCTTTATGATGCGCAATTGACTCTTGCTTGCTTCAGATGCTCACCTCGTACAGAGGGGTATTTCGGTGATGTTTTTAATTGCTTTTAAACAACAACTGAGGTCTATGGCACAGATGAACAAGCTAAACCAGGTTGGAAATTGACTGGCATTAACTGCGTGCAGAGGCAATTCATTTAACTTTTATAATCAGTTTTATAATGCATGCTTGGGATCAGGTAGTATTCCATCTCTAGTTCTCATTTGGCTTCAGCTCTCCTCCAACTTCATTTTTCTCTTTTGTTCCTGCTGTTTTCTTCTACATTCTCTACCAGATCAAACGTTCATCTATAAGGAAAGGAATGGTGATGGTTTCCCCAAAGTTGATGCCACAGGCCACCTGGGAGTTTGAGGCTGAGATTTTGGTGTTACACCACCCGACCACAATTTCTCCGAGATACCAGGCCATGGGTTAGTTACAGCACAGTCAGATCTTGTTTATGTAACGTTGACATGTACTGGACTGCATTATAGTCAGAGCTGTTCCTAATATTCTGACCCTCTCATGTATGTCAACGGGCAGGACAAAAACATACAGATGCCTCTGAATATAATGTAGTCCAGTACAACACCACCTTTAAATGACCTCAATATCCATCCATTTTCCTCTGCTTATCCGGGACCGGGTCGCGGGGGCAGCATTCTAAGCAAAGATGCCCAGACTTCCCTCTCTCCAGACACTTCCTCCAGCTCCTCCGGGGGGATGCCGAGGTGTTCCCAGGCCAGCTGAGAGACATAGTCCCTCCAGCATGCCCTGGGTCTTCCCCGGGGCCTCCTCCCGGTGGGACATGCCCGGAACACCTCCCTAGGAAGGCGCCCAGGAGGCATCCGAAACAGATGCCCGAGCCACCTCAGCTGGTTCCTC